AAACGCCGCAATTCAACACCGCGGTTGCGGGAGAAAAAATGCTGAAACATCTGTCTCGGGATGATCAGTCATGTGTTCATATCTGCGTGCCGATATGTACATGTATTTACAGCAGGCTGCTTGCGACGTCGACGCCACATGCATGACACGTATGATACCTTATGTGGACGCCTGTTGTATGCATGCATGCTCACGGAGTGGAGTATCGTTGTCAGTGGAGTAGGTGGTGGTGGTGTGTGGTACGGAGCTCGGTGAGACCGTGAACAAAAATGTCGGCCGGTTTCGTGTGTACAACACAGCAGTAGCATACCTGACAACAGGTCGTGTGAATTTTCGGCACGGATGAACGAATTTTTTAATTAAGGAAAAACAAATACACACACCAGAAAGACTACCCATTCGAGATATACCCACAGATTGGCACAGATTGAAAAAGTACAAATCGAACATCACCCCAGGAGGTTGTGTCTCGACTATGATACCCCTCAGCCCGGGTGTACAGGCACGCCCCCGTTTCCACCACCATTCAGACACTGCATTGTTCTGGAAAGCAACACTTCTTCTCCTTTCGTTTCCCCCACGCATGTATCGAATCCGTGATCGGCCAACCCACACAGATGCATAATGGCACAGGGGAGGTGAAATTTGTGAAAATTCCGTTACATGAACGACGGAAGAGGCCTGAAATGAAATGTACACACGCCGCTCGTACCAGAGGGCGCTCGCGATGCCACTGTTACGGTCCGGCAGGGGGCTGGGTCTCTTTCTTCTCTTGTGGTTATAACCCAAAACAGGGGCCTTATGTTTACTGGTCAATGACGAAGAAATCGTCTCCGGTATTTTGGAAGTATTTTTTTTGTGCTTGTTGGATGTCGGAAAAGTTAAAGTTACATTTACCTAGATCAGATACATGTACATTGTAGTCGTCGCTCGAAGCTTCTTCGATTTCCCCCCGGGTCTCGTCCGGATCTCTTGAATGTCTTGAATGTCTTGAATGTCTTGAATGTCTACATAACTGAAGCCACACTCGCTGCGGTTGGCAGCATGTTGTTTCCTCTGGCGAAGGAGCGTACGATGCGCGGGCTTCTTCCTGATGAGCAGTATTACATTCGATCCTCCCAAGCAACCACACCACCAGCTATCGATAGCTGCTGCCTGCATTTTGCCAACACTTCCCCCCAGACGTGCCTGCTGCAACCAGACCCCCCCTACTGCCGCCGATTTACAACTAAATACTGCAGTACATACACAAGGAAGGTTTCGATGCATGGGCGACCAACAACGGACGTGTACTTATCAATTGCGCGCACCAACATGCGCATACCGGGATTCTCACACTTGCACGGCCGGATGATGATGTCGCGATGACTCCTCGACCTGTAAGATCCTGTTTTACCCACCCACGCGCTTACGGCAGCAGACAGAAGCACGCCTTTCCATGCCATACAGACGTGGCATCAAATAATGAAGTCGAGGTTTGCTATGCTCTTCGGGCCGCACGTGTTTATGTTTATCCCTCCCTCGCCCGTTACACAGCCGTGTTCATAACTGTCATTCTGGAAGTGAAAGCATCATAAATTATATTAAGTCATTCGCAGCTGTCATCCGTATGCAAGGAATTAAGCACGTAGGCACAAGATGCCGAACACCCTTAGCAGGATGCAGCGCACCCTCCATGCGACTCCGATTACCTCACGGCGCTTCGCGCTTGGTGATGTGAGAGCCTGGTCCCGTGAGAACCCAGCGTGCTCCGTCCCAGCTTGGTAGGGATGCGAGGTCAGTGGTCTAACGACTACGGCATGCACGACTATTGAGTACCCCCCCCCCCCCCCCCCCAAATGAAAAATTTTCTCCAGAGGAGTATAATACCCTGGAGCAATGAAGGAAGAAAGTCACCCCACCCCATGTATGTTTTAAAAACTTTTGATACTGGGGGCATCTCCGGGTCATCTACTACCGAGACCTGGCGAAATCCCGCTGCGGCAATTGAAGCTTTCGCGCCGCGTGTCGTGCATGGGTTATCGGCGTGGTTATCTGTCTTCGACAAATATTGGATCGACAACATACCGCCGACGTATGTTTGGCACGTATTGGTGCCTCACCAGAAGTCACAAGGATTTTACGTTGACGCGAGTTGGCTACACACGACGGGCTCGGCCAGGTGAGGAGGCCGCGTGTGCTGTGTGGTGTGTTATCTCTTTTCCGTTTGAGCGGGTTCGTGTTCCCTTCCACGAAAAACGCGGGGGAAGCGAGCGGACAATCAATACAAGTGGAGCGGGTCAATAAGAAATGAAGCGGAACAATATGAATGGAGCGCGGCAATACAAACGAAGCGGGGCAACTTAAGAGGAGCGAGTAAACAACGAAGACAAGCGGTAGGGTCTCGGCACGCGACGTTAAACTCTTTCGAACGGGAACAGGAAGACAAGAGCGATGTGCGAACGAAGCGGCAAACACGACCATGTACGGGCCAACGAAAACCTGGCGTATGGTTGGTGTTGTGCCTTGTTAATGTTACATGGTTGAACGCTTATGCCATACCACAAGCTGTGCTGCCTGCAGGCCGTCGATGTATACGTTGTACGTCGTCCCCCCGTCTTAAGATGCTACCAGTAGTCGTTGTTCTGACCTTTCGTTGCTGCTGCTGTGGTGGCAACGAAGGGACAAAGCCCATCGATTTCAACACACGCTATACTGCTACACCATAATCTGCTGTTGACCACGTCGGCTGCGCGTGTCGCAGCGATGTTGGTGCTGGTGATTTTTCTTTCCGTGTCTACTGCTACCTCACGCCACACGAACAAGAATACTATTTAGGGAAGTATAACGTTAACGTTTGGTGTGGAGGGCGTCTGTATGTTTGTTTTGCCACCGGTTGGCTATCCTCATGGTAATGGGCGAGATTCCGCACACCCGAGCTTGATAGTATCCACAGCAGCATCATCGTCATCAGCAGCAGCAGCAGCAGCAGCACTGCATTCGGATCCGTTCGAAGAGGAGATCTATAATGTACAAAGTCCAGCAGAAGAGCTGGGGATGGGAAGAAACGCCTCTTGTTCTCTCGAGACACCGCACCAACCGTCACGTTGGGGTGTCTGATTTCCCGTTGTTGCTGTCGTCGAGACGATGTGCCTCCTCGACCATCGCCCGAGCCAGACTGGAGGTGTGGTCTCTTATTCCACAGTAGTGCGCCAAAGTCGGTCGGTACGGCAGCAGTCGGTCTCTTCCAGCGGAGGTGCGTTGTTAGAGACGCATGCACATCTGCCCCCCCAACTAATACTAACATAGACGAACATCACGCGAGATGGACCAGTTCGTTGCGTCAGCAAGGTAGCGGGTTGTCAAATGGCAGGACCGGCGCTTTGGCTGACAAAAAAAAGCGTACGAAACGTCAGGGGGAACCGTGGTATTTTACAAAAGTGTGTTCCTTCCTACGTGGTAAAATTTTTCCGCGAACACCCACCATGTGGGTTTTTCTTTCTTCCAGCGGATCAACACGCGCAGTTCGATGCATGGGTGCCCCAACAAGCGTTCACTGCACGCACACGCACACGCACACACAGGCGCGCTGCAGTGGCAGAGCGGATGTGTCTTTTTGAGCCTTGTGTTGTTCTGCCCGCCATCGCAGTCTCTGCAGAACTGTACGTGCACGGTCGAGATGCTAGTCGATAGTTTTGATCGAGTTTTGATCGTTCACGTAGGAAGGGTGTAGATGGTCGACAAGCCGTGGTTTCTTTGTGTTGTGGTATCCGTGAGTACTCTAAACCCGGAGACTGTCTCCTGTCCCCTGTGGACCGATCCCCTCCGCGCGGCCCCCGTGCCCAGGGAACCAACTCCCCGCTCCTAGCTATCTCAGTGCCTTTTGGCGTTTTGTTACACCGATGTGAACAAAATTGGCGTGATGTTGTCATGTCGGACCATGTCGGACTCACGGACGGACTCTCGCATGCTGCCGAGGATTATACCCCGGCTCGTCGTTACGAGAGAGGTTCTGTTTTGTGTTGGTCTCGCCGAGGAAGTGACGGACGTACTCACGCATGTTGCGTAGGACCCACGTCGTCCAGATGCCGCACCGTGCAGGTGCCAGACCGGCGTGTTTGTCGTTTGTTCAATGCGCTGGCTCGTTCGCGGATTGTTTTTCTTCGGTCTCGGTTTGTTCCGCTCCTGCGTTGTTTGCCTCTGTCTGTGTTGGTGCGTTGTGTGTACTGCAGTGTCCTTCCGATCTTGGTTCTTCCTTCGCACAAATATGGATGGAAGGAACTACTATAGAACGCCATTGCTTTAATGGTCGTTGACCAGAAAAAACACACCGTTTTTCACCCCCCCTCCCCCGCGCATACAGGGGAGATTTGGAAAGCGTCCAGAAGTACATCGCGACGGGGGGAGACCTGGAGCGGATGGATTGGGACAACTGCACGGCGTTGCATATCGCGTGCGCGGGAGCTTTCTCCCAGGTCGCGCAGCTGGTGAGCTAAATAACTTCGGTAGTGTTGACCGCACCCATTTTTTGGTTGCATGAGTACTGCGTGAAGATTATTGCGTTTTGAACTTGCAAAGTGCAAGAAGACCCGGGGGTAGACCCACCCAACCGCCCTCAAGGAATTGATGTATTGTGATATCGTGATATCGTGATATTGTGATATTGTGATGTTATTTGCTGGGTTAGGGTTACGGCTGGGGTTATTTGTCGGGCTGTTGAACATATCTGCACGTTGTGTTGGGCGCCAGGTCTTCTGATGTTACTGCTGGGTTTGTTCCGGTGCGACGACGCCCGACCGGCACGTCCAAGGCCATGCATTTCTCTCTCTCTAGACGAGATATTTGCGAAACCACCCTATCCGACATTTGGCAGAACCCAGGGCTGCGGCGTGAACACCCCCCCCCCCCTCTGTT